TCACGTCGTACAAAAGGATCAGTCCAACCAAATTGAACAAAAACCGAACGAAAAAACCGACCGACCGGAAATGAACATGTTGGTTTGAAACTAATAACTAAATGGTATTGTGATTGTCTTACAGTCATCAATTTGTCAATGCAAGTTACATATTAAATAAAAATGCTATAATGCAAAATCATATTTATCCGCCGCCTTTTCCGCCCGAAATCCGGATTATTAATCGCGGTTATTTAGGTTATTATTTGGGTACGCTGATAATTTCCAATTTTAATTCAAAGACAACCAATGATAAACATGAATGTCTTGGCAGCGCTCATAAAAAATCCGAATATGATATCTTAATGTGATATGTTCGTCTTGCACGTATATTGTGCTTGCTAGCAAAGTAGTACTTCTGTGGGGTTTTGTGTGAGCTTGATAAACAGTCGAGATCGTTTTGGCGAAGACGTTATGTCACAGTCTTACCTTAGTAATCTGAAAATTCTATTTGAATTCTTTTATGTAATAGTAAGGTACACATAGCCGGATTTTTTAAGGTTATTCAAATTATTCTGTACTACATGCAGATCTCACGTGATCTTGTGAACGCGCGCCTGATCTTTTTCTTGATGATATCAAACTTTCACAGTGATTCTTGTTAATTTCTCAAACATAAACATTAATAAAATTTTGTCATAGTTCGGCATTAATTTTTGCACTAACTAGGGTCTACAAAAAGCGTTATAATCAGGCTATGTGACTAACGTTTAAAAAAATGGTAAAAATTTATCCACATATACTTTACACAAATTTAGAACGTATTTATAAAAATTGCAATGTGTTAGCTAGAAATATAACAAAATTCATATACGTGGGGGGTTCAAAAAGTTTTGACACAAGGGCGTATAAAATTTTTATTTACATAATAATAGAGTATATATATCCAAATTTGATATAATTATATATAGGATTACCTGTATATGGAAATTTATAATTATAGAGGTTCTACTGAGTATGAAAAAGCAACACATTTCTTGGAGATAGGTTGCAATTGTAATTGTTCAAAAAAGATTTTGAGAGAGAAGTTTGCTGAGTTACGTGAGGCATTCCAAGCTCTCTCTAGATCCAAATAAGATATATTTTTAATAGCCCAATTGAAAGCAATGAATGGTGGGGAAATAACTGCCAGTCGGCGTCTTAAAAGAAAAATGCGCACTAATAAGCGAATGTTTTACTACTGAGATCGCAATATGTCACTTTGTCAGAAAACATATCTTAATATATTAGGAATTGGCCTTATGCACTTTGAAAACGTCAGAAGTTACCTAGCAATAAATGGTATAATATCACGCATTCACGGTAACATCAAACGAATGCTACGATGGAAAACTAAAATAACTATTGATATAACTGTTACTACCGCTATAAAAAATTTTCTCAAAAACTACGTAGAAATTCATGAATTACTAAGTCTTAGTAGAAACGTCAACTGAATTACTCAATCGCTTACACTTTTGCCAGCTAAAATGAGTTACAAATCGGTCTATCGTGATTTTATTACTAGTCTCAAAAATGATAGCCTATTGAAATTATTAAAGTATGATACATTTCGCAAGTTATAGCATCAATTAACGTCTTATATTCAAATCATGAGTCTGAGAACTGACTTATGTGACACGTGCCAACATTTTCAGAACAGTTTATAATACAATGCTCACAAGAAAGAAGAGGCGAAAGATTTACTAAAACAATTTAAAAAAAATTTAATTAAGATTAAATTAAAAAGAAATTATTACTACAAAAATACGAAATTAGCAGAACAATAGAGAAAATTGATAGATAGACACTTTATAACAAAAGGTAAAGCTAATTATTGTAGCATTGATGCTACTGCTCATTATAGTTATGATTGAATGCAAAACATTTATATTTCCTATTCTGATCAACAGGTAAGTAAGATTTATTATCTCAGTCTACGTAAAGTGCATTGATTTAGTATTCAAAATGAAACAGTATGCGAATAAATTAATTACGTTCTCAATGAAGACAAAATTATAGGGAAAGGCCTTAATGGCACACTGAGTCTGGTATTTAATAGGATAAAAAAATTGAATAAAGGCGAAAAACATTTAAAAATTATTTGTGATAATGTGAGTGAACAGAACAAAAATAATACTACTATTTGATTTTACTTATATTTAGTAATTTGCGATTATTATGAAAGTATTGAATTAAATTTTATAGTGCCTGAACATACTAAATTCAAATGTGATGATAGTTTTGGATTAATTAAGAAATTCTATAGAAAAACAACAGTAGATTGCATAGATCATATTGTTGAGCTTATGAAAAAATCAAGTACAGCAGAATTAAACAAAACTCAATATTATGACAACGGAAAAGGTTTTCAATACTTAGATCTTAATTATGTATTAGAAATTTTTTTTAAAAAATTGAGTGGTTTGCAAAAATATTAGCATTTTGTATTCGAAGCAGCCAAACCTAATATTGTTCAGACTTAGCTGGTTGCTAATAGTATTTTTACTGAATTAATTTATTGAAAACCAAAAAAGCTAGCATTTCTGAAATTACCAAAGAAATTAAATCTTTTTTTATTCTAGTCCTAATTCCTTCTCCTTTGGATTACAAAAGATAAGAATATCTTTATCATAATATTCGTCCATTCATTAGAGATAAATTTAAAGACATTACTTGTTCAAGACCAATCTACACTGATAATGAATAGAATATTTTAGTCAACAAATTTTATTACTTTATTAGTTTTTGTTCATTTCCTTATATTTAATCTTTTAATGATATTAATATTAAAATATAATATATTATATAATAAAAAAAAGAAATTAAAATCATGACATTTAATAAAAATGATATAAATACAATAAATGAATCAAAGGAATACTCCAAATATTATGGAGGAGTTCTTAAACCAGAAGAAAAGGTTATTTTTGATAGTAATCTTTTAAAACTAAATGATACTTTAGATAAAATACTCCTTTAAGATACTGCTCAGTTATTAAACAATTGAAGAGAAGTTAAAAAAAAAATAAAAAAGGAAAAAATAGATTTAAGTTCAAAAAGTCATAAGTTGTTAGTTTCTAATAGAGTTTCGGATGAGTTGAGTTAACTCACGAGTCAGATAAGCTAAGTTGAGTTCAAATCAAGTCAAGTTTATGTTTTTTTAATTCAATGATTTGTGAGTTAAGCCAAATTCAAGTCGAGTTAAATATTTAACTCAACTTGATTTAAATTCGACTTGATTCAAGTTGACTCGAGTTGACTTGAACGATAAAAAATCATTTTAAGAAGAACGATAAGGAATCGTTCGACTTGAACGATAAAAAATCATTCTAAAAAGAACGATAAGGAATCGTTCAACTTGAACAATAAAAAATTGTT